TACAAGATCCCAACAATGAATGTAACTGTACTGTATCCTTTTTTTTTTTTTTGTACTGGGGACTGAACTCAGGTCCTTGCTCTAGTGAGGAAGGTGGCAGAACCACTGTGCTAAATCTCCAGCCCTCTCTGGGTTTTAGGGAAACTTGGGATACAGTATCAAAGGCTTTGATCTATCACAGACTGTCTGGTAATCCTCATCGTTTTCATCAGGTGGTAATCTCTATAAGTCTCATTGTCTTGTCATGCTAAATGGGACTGATGGCAAACATTGTCTTAGTATTATGTACCAGTGCCTGTGTGGGGGGAGTTATTCTCTACATCTTGACTGTCTCCTTCTTCTGTGTAGATGCAGTCCCTAAATAAGAGGCTGACAGAGAGATGACATGTTTGGAGATATGAATAACACACTCTGCTTCAATCTCCTCTTACTTAGAGGGCCCTTAAAGTGGGTCATGCTCCACCCCGTCCCTGTTGCTGCATTCTGTCCCTGTGAATTATCGTTCTACTCCCAAGGAAGTACATCCGTTATTGGAAGGAGTCTGGAAAGAGGAGTATCAACATGCATGTGTGTAACATCGCACTCCATTTCCCTTCTTGTTTGACCTGAAAGACGAGCAGCAATGCTCTCGGGGAGACAAGTAGGAGTTTCTGGTCAAATAATTTTAAATACGATCCTCTTTATTAAAATCTATAATTTCATACACACTGTCGTAGTGTGCAACTTCATTAGTGTTTTGTTTTTTAGCTTTGTTAGTGTTTGCTCCAATTTGATAAGTGCATGAAAGAAGCTAAAAGCGCGTGTACCGAAAGCCTTGTTACCCAGTTGTGCTGCTACTGGGAGGACTGAGCCTTTGCTTCATACGGAGGTAGATGAGAGTCTCCCACCTGTATGAGCATGTGCCCTAAAAGGGACTCTGGGGACCCTGGCCATTTCTAACCCCTCCCATTTAACTCCTGGCTGCCGTGAAGCAAGCAGGTTCCTTTGCCAGGTACAAACACTACATTACGCTCTCACGCAGCAGATGCTAAATCTAAGAGGGCGTCTGACTTTGAAGCTTTCTGCAAATCTTCAAAACTATTCGCCCACATCAGCCTTTCCACCTCTGAAGTGAATTACTCACCAAAGTAAACCTTTTCGTAAAGATTGTATTTTGAATGACTGTCAAGGACAATGGAAAATTTTGTCGACCAACAGACATTTCCATAGCATTTCAGGAGAATGAAGAAGAGTGGATGAACAAAATCACTTTTTCTTTAATAAATTCCTCATCGTGTGAGTTTCCAATAATTCTGGAATCGATTTTACTCAATTTAGCACATCTGTAATTGTGCAGCTCCACGGTTCTCTTGCAATATTTGGGGTGGTGATGCTAGTTGGGTTGGATTTCCTGTTTCACACTCCATTGTCGGGCTGGGGATTTAGCTCAGTGGTTCAGCCACTAGCCTCACACTCCACTGTGCTTTTTCCTAAGCCACGCCTCTTTCTGTGACCTTTGCTACAGTACAACAATCAGACCCAGGACGCTAAAAGGATTCATTGCCAAGAACAGGTCAATTATCTTCTTCAGTGGTGCTGTGTATTCTTGATAATTCACGTCTTTGCATTTTTTTTCTTTTTCTTGTTTCTTTTTGGTACCAGGGATCATCAAACTTGGGACCTTGTGCTTGCGAGGAAGGTGGTGGAATCACTGAGCTAAATCCCTGGCCCCTGTCTTTGCATTTTTGGGTGTCTACTGCCGTAGCATTTGATAGGCACAGGCCATAAGCAAAAGTTTGCTCTCTACAGCTCACATGTCGTAGCAGTGCTCCCAAATCCTGGCTGGAGTTTTGCTGATGGAAATGGCAGACACTTTCATAAATAAAGCCTTGGTATTCTACATATGTTTCTGCAGATTTAATGGGATTAATCATTTCTTCATGGTATTCACCATTACTGCTTCCCTTATCAGATCACTCTTTGAAAGCTTTTTCTGTCTTATCATCCTGGCGGTGATAAATACCTACTCTGTGGATGGATGGAAAGTCTAAACTTTCTTTCCTTGCCCTTCCCTGTGAAGTGTAGTTTCACTTTTCCAAGGCACTCCGCTCTTCCTGTGTTTCTGATTCATTCTTCCTAATCTTTTTGGTCAGACAAAACTCACCTTATTGTTTCATAACATTGGGATTCCCAGGCTGATACTTGGATATGCGTCCTATTGACCAACGTGTGGAAAAGGTCTTGAGGCGATTTTAAAATAAAACAAGTATGTAGATAGTTTTCTCCAAGACTTACACTATATTACATAAAATTCAAATTATTTTGACTGATGTCACCCGCAGTGGTCACATTGCTAGGAAAGAAAAAATTAGGTATTCTTTTAAATAACTGCAACCTAAGGAGATTCGTCACGCCTGATGACACGAAGTTACCTAATGAATATGTACCAAGGACAAGCACCATTCCCTCAGGTGTGCACTAGGGAAGAAAATAATTGTATCAGAGCTCTTGGGGAGAACACAATCATCAGTGTCTTCCTTCATGAAGGAACCCTTTTCTCCTAATCAAGAATACTTCAAAGATGTTAGCTTGAAGCATCATCTAGGGTTATCAGAATTTTGTGGAACAACTGTGTCTTTAAAAACTCTTAGATTGGGTTGGGTTTGAGAAGAAACTGAATCACCCTGATTATTTGGCTGCACACATTGCTTAAGCCTGTGCACTGCTATACCATTTTTTTGTGGGCACGAGTTTTCATTTCCTCGTTTTGTGCTAACAATAAATTAACTGAATTAAGGCAAACGTAAAGGGATATATTATTGTGCTTTACAGTCACTAGCAAGCTTCACTAAGCACATGGAGATCCATGCGTGGTGAGATGATTTACACTAATATACTTCATATGCATAATAACGATCAAGTACTGGAGAACATATGTTGCTTTCAGGCAAATGCTTTCGAGCCAAAAAAACAAATTCTATTTAATTCAAAAATAAACTTTTTCACTGTTAGTGACATTTGAGAAGTGCAGAAGATGGAAATATTCTATCTATCCCAAACTTATTTCTTTCTTTCTACTTTTTACTAAGTACCTCCCAAGCTAACAACTTGAAAATATTTAACAACACATATTTACTGTTCTGTTGCTGTTGTATATCTGTGTCCTAGGGATTGTGTGAAAGTAGAGATGGTTGTTTAAGAAAAACCTGTCAGAAAGGGCATAGTAGGTGTCATGGATACTGCAAAAAAATTGAAATTAATGTGTTTGGAATTGAGTCGGGGAGAGGAATTAGACAATGATGAATAGAAAGGCATCATTTATATTGCCACAGTTCCAAATGGGACAGGAAAGAGTAATTTTTAGAAATAGAGGAAACATGATGAAGAAACAATAGGACACAACAGTCATGAGGTCAAGGACGTTTCTCAGCTTCAGCAGATGTCTGGTTTCACTAGAAGAGGTCATGATTTGTGATCGGGTCAAGTTTCTGGCAGTGACCAATGCAGAGACACCAGGGGAAGGATGAGAATTTTAACCTCTGCTGCAATTGTTACAGGGTTCCCGGGGGAGGGGTGGCCAGAGCCAGCAAGGTAAACAATCCGTGTCTGAATCATAAAACTCACAGGATGTGGGGACCTGCGAGATTTATTTCCCCATAGGAAGTGGGTGAATATAAATATGATTTGTTTCTGGTTCAGGTAACAGCAGTGAATACAGAATGTCTCTCACCGCAGGTAAGTCTCTCTCAGCGACTATACTGAAACAATAGAGGAAAAGTAAAACACTACTTTTAAAGAGAAAGTGAGGAATTAAAACTGAGAAATGTGCTAATGAATGATTTAATACTTGCTTACTAGGTTAAACACATTTTGCAGTCTCATGGCCAGTAGTAGTTTCTTATTAGACCTATTTGAAGTTGACTTCATTTTGCATTTATATAAGGATTGTGAAGTTTTTACTTATTTATATTTTAATCACTATTTATAAGTAAACAATTCCTTTTCAAAGATCTTTCTGCAAGTAGTGTGTTTCATGTAAATGCTAATTTTTTTGACTTATTGAAATAAAAGTATTAGAGGTATAGTATTACCTACATATGCCAACTCAAGCCCATGTAGACCACATGCTGTCATTGTTAATCTAGAAGAACGATGACCACCCTGATTTTATGTATCAATAAATACACACATACACACAGAAATGCACAAAACCAAGGCTCTTGTATCACAGAAACCATCACTGTTTTTTTTTTCCCCATTGCAAATTTTGTGAAAAATTCTCTTTAAAAGCCAACAATCAGGGCTAGAGATTTAGCTCAGTGGTGCTGTACTTGCCTCCCAAGTGCAAGATCCTGAGTTTGAACCCTGGCACTGGAAAGAAAAGAAAAAGCCAACAATAAGCGCAGGTGTATGTTGTAGTCTGTTGTTCCTACTTGTATTTTATTCCTTCCTTTTGGCTTTTCCAGGGATGTCCTTGGGAATGGGACAAGTTACAGGAAAATATTCTAAAAGTTCTGATAAGACAGGGATGATTAGGAGCACAGCGATCCAATTAGACATTTTACTTTTCAGTGAAACTTAAGAACACCGGATAACATCATAATAATTTTCACTTATTAACTTATATTCAATATGATTGTCAGGGACAAAACTTAGTAAAGTTTATTCTTTTTATGTTCTGGCTTGTAGTTCTAATTTAGGTGTTTGCTTCATGACTTTGGATCTGGAACTAGCTTTTAGTATATTCAAACTAGTGTCAGAATGGGTAATACAGAAAAGGCAATTAATAATTACACATAAGTCTAGGCTAAAATTTCATCAACCTCCTTTTCTAGATATTTTGTTTCTTTTTTCATATGGTATTGTTTCTTTTGATGGCCACTTGCTTCTTCAGTATTCTTAGGCTAAAGAAGACAATTGACAGATATGATTCACATTCTGTTTCATAAATATTGTATGTAGGATTTATAGAAAAATGAAATCCTAATACATTTTCTCTTCATTTTTCTTACAATTTAGAGTACGGACAAAGAAGAATGGATGAAGGAAACTGTTCCTCCCTAACTGAATTCTTTCTCTTAGGAATAACCAGTAACCCTGCAATGAAAGTGGCCCTATTTACCACAGTTTTACCTGTGTATCTCATCAGTGTCCTGGCAAATCTCGGCATGATCATGCTTGTTGGGATGTACGCCCAGCTCCACACTCCCATGTACTTCTTCCTGAGCCACCTGTCCTTCTCTGACCTCTGCTCTTCCAGTTCAGTTGGGCCCAGGATGCTGGTGGACCTATTCACGCAGAAGAACAGATCAATTCCCTTTGTGGGCTGTGCTCTACAATTATTCTTCTTATACACGTTTGTAGATGTTGAGTGTCTGCTGCTGGCAGTGATGGCCTTTCATTGGTACAAGGCCATCAGCAGCCCCTTGCTCTATGCAGTGGACATGTCCAGCAGGCTGTGCTCTGTTCTTGGGGCCAGTGTTTACCTATTGGGAGTAGCAGATTCTGCGATACACACATCATTGGCATTCCACTTGTGTTTCTGTGGGTCTAATGAGATCAATCACTTCTTCTGCGATGTCCCTCCTCTCCTCTTAATATCTTGTTCAGACACACAGGTCAATGAGCTAGTCATTTTCACTATATTTGGTTTCATTGAACTGAGCACCATCTCAGGAGTCCTCATCTCCTATTGCTACATCATCTTATCCGTCTTAAAGATCCGCTCCGCCGAGGGGAGGTTTAAAGCTTCCTCCACCTGTGCCTCCCACCTCACTGCGGTTTCCGTTTTCCAGGGAACCATGCTCTTCATGTACTTCTGGCCCAGTTCTGCCTACTCCCTAGACCAGGACAAAATGAGCTCACTGTTTTACACCCTGGTCATTCCCACGCTGAACCCTCTAGTTTACAGTCTATGGAATAAGGATGTGAAGGAGGCCATGAAAAGGCTGACAAATAAAATTTTTCTCTTAGGTTGATTACTATATACTGCCAACAAATATGTGTTTATATACACACAATGTATATGTTGAGTTTCTTCACATTATTTTTTTTTTCAGGTACTGGGGATCGAACTCAGGACCTTGCGCTTGTTAGGCAGCCATGGCACCACTGAGCTAAATCCCCAGCTTTCACATTATATTTATAAGCGATAGTGATAGTTTTGTCAAATACCTTAATTGAATTGAATATTTTAATAATCTCCAATATATCTACACACATACATACATACATAAATACAATTTCTGAAATATTTTATCCTTTATTATGTATCTTCCAAAGGAATGGGGATTTTTCATTTTTAGAATTTTTATCAGCCTTTGTTTTAATATATAGAAGTGTCATTTATTTGATGTGTACTGTAGGCATTGATTTTATTATAAGACTTAATGAGTGTTCAGTGAATTCCCATTTGTACTTGTGTGTTCACTTAATTCTTGGTGAAATGAGTATCATGCTATGGATCCCAATAATGTATTGGGAATTAGAAACATTAAATAGCTAAACATACAAATATTAGATAACAAAGTGTAGATTAGCATTAAGTAAATGCAGGACTCTTTATGCAAAAGCAAAACATCTAAATCTGAGCTGTAAAGAAGAAAATATTCTGTTACATGGGGACACTTAGTTTCATATCTAGACAATGAGCAGAGATGTAACAAAGGAGTGCTGGGAGAGGAATCTGCTTTAGAGGACAACATGGATATGAGAAACCCTGAAATGGTCAGGAAAATACCCCAGAAGGAAAGGAAGCCCAAGCTGCAAGAAACAAAGAGGAGAGTAGATTTCTCTAATGATTAGTATGTTGAAAATTTCTTTATATACTTTTGCACAACTTAAATGTCTTCTTTTGAGAAATATCTATTTGGATTTTTTGTACTCTTTTTTGTATGAATATTTGATTTGGAAGGACTTTTATTGTTTTATTATTTATTGAGTTCTTACATTTTCTAGGAAAAAGTTCTGCATGTCAACATGAGTATAGTAAATTGTACTGTATTATTTATTTGTATATAAATAGAAGAAAGAAGTTTTATTCTTGAAACATGAAAAAATGATAAATATTGGAAAATATTTCCCAATTACCTTATGTCATTACACAACATATGTATAACTGCTTATTCACCTTAAAATCGAACAAATTCATAACTGTTCAAAATGAAACCAAGCAAAACATAATTGCAAAGTGTAGGGTCCTTGTAAAGTCTACTTCACAATTCTCAGTGAAGTCACTGCTGCTAACCTTTTTTCCACTTCTGTTGCTCTATATTTTATTTCAATTTCCACCTTTGTGGTTCATAAATAATACTCTTCTGAAAGCATTAGTCTACCTATTGTTCTTTATGTTAATCTATCTCCTCTAATAAAACTCTATAAACATTCTTTAGTGCCAGGGATTTAGCTCAGCAGTTCGGTGGCCTGCTTGCAAGCGCAAGGACTGGAGTTTGATCCCCAGTACCAAAAAAAAAAAAAAAAAAAAAAAAAAAAAAAAAAAACTGAAACAAAACATTCTTCGAATGATACAGAGTCTACTGAATTCCGTTCTAGTGCCTGAACTGTGGCTGAGATACAAATTGGAAAAGCAAATAAATTGAAATCAACTCTCATAGCAATATTTGCAGGGCTTACTGAATGATCAATTACAGTTAATTCAGTGCATGACATGTATTTAAAACATAATTCTGGATTATAAGGTAGTCAGTCTACAAAGATGTGCACATTAAATGAAGAACGATCACCTAAGCATCTAATCAATGTTTAGTTAATCCATCTGGCTGTACTTGAATTTGAAATGAAAAAATTCTAGAAATGAAAAAATTCTTGGGGTGAACATATAGATATTACCATATATTTCAGGAATAAATAACATTCTGTGAAAATGTTAATTATCTATTAAAACTGCACAAGTTAAAAGGCATTGAAAACCTTTGTTTCAGTGTGTGCAATTATGTACAAAACTCCCTTGTGTGAAAACAACACAGAAAGAAAATCAAATCTCGGGATCTCTGCTGCTTTCACAGTGGCATTTGTAGGATGCGGTTACAGGTTTTATGAAACAATGATGACCCAAAAGACCTGTGGGGAAAATACTTCTTCTGAAGAACACATTATAGGTTTCCACTGCCACATACCCTAAATTTACACAGCCCCCTTTGTCAGTGATTCTAACCAGCAGCAGCATGATTGAGACATTGTTTAGAATATAAAGTTCAGTGAATTGTAGGGTTCATGCGTCACCAAGCAACCTGGCATTCTTTCTCTCAGTTTGAGTAAAAAGCATGCATCAGCACAGCACAGGTCCACTATGGACTCTGACTGCCAACAGACCTGGGACTTCAGTGCTCTGAGTGCCTGTACCCTGTAGCTCACAGTAAGAGCTCTGGGCCCTACACTTCCAGTTCCTGAACTGTTGTCTGCACCGCTGACTAAGGCTGCCAGTTGCCATCTGTCCACACTGGTAACCCTGACAACGCGCCATTCACTGGCATTCACGGGTGGTCAGTGGCCGCCACCACCAGCCGCCACTGCTGCATACCGCGTTTGACACACACAGCTACCGCCACCAGCTGTCTGCCCTGACTTTTGCCACTGTCTCCAGATGGCTTTCAGCCCCTCCTGTTCATAGCCACTGCCCCGTCTCTCTTTAAGAGAACCATTCTGTCCATGGTACCCAGAATGCTGAGTAGATTTACAGCATCTACAGCAGTAAATTATAAGCAGATGTACTAGACCAGTACATGTAAGTCTGTTCTGCAACAGAGGGGATCAGTTCACAAGAGGGAACTAACCAGAAAGGACTCCTGTTTAGGAGGAATGATTAACAAATACAATGATTGTTTAAATTAAAAAAAAAAAACACTTTACTACAGTAAGATACACACGTTAATCCCTCTCCAAAGACTCTTGCTTTGAACACACTTATCCACTCATTGTTGCTACTTCCTGAAGCAGCTCTGGAGTCCTCTTTCACAAGTTACTATGTGAGTTGTGATTAAAAACCTGTAGTAGATGCTGCTTCCAAGAGCCATCTGATAGAACTCCAGGTTTGATGAATCATCGCTAGGTGTCCTTATCCACCTTACTAACAAAATTTGGACCCACCGGACTTCTGGCTCTTTCCCAAAGTTAAAAGGATCATGAAAGGTAAATACTGAATTGATTTGGGGCATCAAGGCCAACATAAGACTATGCTAAAGATAGAGGGAAAATGTCTTCTGGAACTGCTGCAAAAAGTAGCAGGAAAAACAGGATAAGTGCATTTAAAGCGAGGAGGAAAATATTGAGGGGGACTTATAAGTTCATGTTTTTGAAAAATTTAAACGTTGAGTACTTTTGGATCACACATCCTGTAGAGCAGCAGGAGGCTTGTAGTGGTTTCACATTCAATCCTTGCTATTGCTCCAAAGTCAAGCGTAATAATTAGGAACACTTTCAAATTCAAGCCTCTTATTCAGGTTTACAGGTTCATCCTAATTACCTTCCTCTATGTGGTTCTAAGTTGAGCCTTCTGCCATTAGGGAACATATCACTGAGGGGAACCAGGTGTCCTAGCCAACTGCAGCTGTCGTGGGGGCAGTTTGGGCCTCGGCACTGCGGAGAATGTGAGCAGAGGGGCTGCTGGATGCGCTGCTGCTGCTTCTCCCAGAAAGCGACATCATAAAATCGGGTCTTCCGGCTTTCTGGGATTCTCAGCAGGCCTGATCCTCCCCTGTGTCTGTCTTGGCAGCGGTGGCTTCTTCTCCACTATCGTTGTCTCTGCATATGTGGAGATCCTAACCTCAAATCTTAATTTTGGGTTAATATAGAGGCTTTTGAAAACTGTGGAGTTTATTCAGGCAGAGCCATCAGGTATCAAGTGATTGCCTTAATGAGAAGGAGCTTTCTATTTCCCTAACTACTCCTGCCGTGTGAAATCTGAATATTTGGATGTCTGTGAACCAGAAGACAGGCTGTCTCTGTCTAATGAATCTATTTGTGCCTTGATTTTGCACTTTCAGCCTCTAGAACTGTATTACAGATATGGAATACAATACCAATATGCATTATATGAGATATGTTTTATATTTAGATAATATTAGTATTAAATCACTAGGGACTGCAGATATGTACTAATGCATTTTAAAAAATAAACATTAAGGGCCAGGGATTTAGCTCAGCGGCTCCGTGGCCTGCCTCGCAAGTGCAAGGACCCGAGTTCGATTCCCGGTACCAAACAAAAGAAAAAAAGAAACATTAAAAAGGAGAGTATATTTAAGTTCTATTAAATGTCTAGTTCCACGAGAAGATAGTGTGATTCATGATAGCCAAGAATTGCCATGCTAAATTTTCCTCAGTCTTAAAATTGATCAACTTGTTGACAGTGGCAAGCAATTAAAGGTTCAGCCTTTAGAAGAGTTGTTGAACCACTATTCTCCAGGGAAAGAGGAATCCAGGAATGTAATCAATTACTTTTGAATAATTCGAAGGGTAGAAAGCAGAAGCTTAGGTCCCAACAGTCTCTGGGTGAGAATAAATATGATCTACTGATTGCTCAGCACCAACAATAACTACAGAAAGTCTTGATCCTCTCAGGGAGACTTCTCTGTGAGTATATTTTAAAACACAGTACAAATAAAACATTAGTTTCTGTAAAAACAATGAGCAATTAGTGGTGAGCAATGTATTAGTGAATTGTTTTATATCTTATTCAACTAAATATATTTCATGATTGGGCCAGGGAGTTAGCTCAGTGGTTCTGCCTCCTGCCTTACAAATGCAAAGTCCCAATTTGATCCCCAGAACCCCCAATATGATTTCATTATTTAATGACCAAAGGCGTTTTCTTATTAGACTTGTGTTGTCATTTTTATTAAATTCAGTAGCCATTTGTATAAGGATTGCAAAGGATTCACTTATTGATTTTTAAATTGAGATGAATAAGTAAGCCATTCCTTTTTGAAATCATTCTGCAAATGAGGTGGCACTTGCAAATTTA